TGGCCTCCAGGATCCACCCTCACCCATGCCTCCTTCTGTCCAGGAGCAGGACTGGCTGCTCCACCCAGCAGGCACTGTGCCCTCAACCTCCAGGCTGCCCTGCTCTGGCATCACACCTTCCTGCCTGCACAGTGCCCTGCGTGGACCCACAATGCTGCCCTTTATTCACTGACCTGGGACAGCCTGTGTGTGTGTGTGCATGTGTCTCCATGTGCATGTGAGCCTGGGTTCCTCTGTCTGGTATGAGGAGCTGGCCCTCTGTTCTTTGATCTTCTGGCTGGTGTGCCTGCTGGGTCCCTCTTAGTTTCCCCTACAGGTGCCCAGTCAAGGGATCAGCCAAGGGTTTGAAGAGCACTTACATACAGAATTTGGGGTTCCCCCTCGCTGACTCCTTCCCCTTAATTCCCAGCTGCTCCCTAGGTGTGGCCCCGAGCCCCATGGCCTGCCTGGACCCGGGCCGGCGGCGGATTCTGCCTGCCCTCTGCACCTGCTGCACGACTGGGCTTTGCCTTCAGACAGATCTTTCCCGGGAGCGATCTTCTCCAGTATCTGCTTGCTTCTGGCGTTTCTCCGCTGTCTTCTGATCTCTGTTGGCCGAGCAGTGCTTCCAGTTTATACTTGCTGCCTGCGAATTTATTCTGGTACAAGCGGCTCTGCCCTGTTGGAATGAAACCACTTTCTCTCCTGCGGTTTCTAGAAATGATCACTTCCCGTGTACCTAGGGAGGCCCCGCATCCTTCCCATAGGTTTAACGGCTATTCGGATCTATTGTGAAACATCGGTTCAATTCCCGTATCCATTTCTCTCTCGAATTGTGTGATTTTTCCAATTGATTTGCAGGAGTGCTGTACGTATTCTGGATATTCTGTCAGTTACAAATGCTTTTAGGAAATATTGTGCAAGTGTCGGAAATGGACCCAAAGATGACTTCTTATGTGTTCATTGGAAATAAAGGCATTGTCTCGTACACCCTTCCAGGTGGGTGGATCATTGTCTTTGAGCTATCATACATTCCCGTGAGTTGTAGGTAGTGGATGGCAATGCAAATTCTCTCCTTTGGAAGGATGGTGGGTTCTTCCTGCCTCCCATGGAATAAACCAGATGCATTCGAAAATGCAACTATGTATAAATGCTTCGTAGCATTCTTGATTCAACGAGAGAAATGAGATACTTTGATTCTACTGAATTGACGAGTTAAAGAAATATTTGAAAGACATTCGTTATGTGTCCATATGGGAGTCAGGATCACACTCTGTTCTGGAAACTATCCTGTAATGTGGCATGTATGTCTTCTTCCAGATGGCCCGGTTCTCCTGGGTCGACGAGGTTCCGTGGCCTGGGCGGGCAGGAGAGGAGGTGCAGAGGAGCGGGCCCAGGGCAGCCGCACTGCTTCCTCTAGGGGTTCTGCCTCAGGGTGCTCCCCCAGGAAAGCCTCCCCTGATCCCACCGATTGGGCTCTTCTGTTAGGGGGCCTCAGGACACCAATGCTCTCTGCTCACAGCACTTGTCACGATGGTCCTTACTTGTTTGTGGAACGATTTACTTAATGTCTGTCTTTGCCCTGGTCTGTCAGACCCTTGTGTCCAGAGACCGTTCCTTTCTCATTGAGCACAGTGGGTCTGTATCTCCTACCAGACTTCTATTTCCTCCTGGTCCTGTGACTGTGGGTCTCTATTTTACCTGTGTCTGTCTCCTCCTGGTTCTGTTTCTCTGGGTCTCTATCTCTCATTTTCCAGCTGTCTCTTCCTGATTCTGTTACTCTGGGCCTCTGTCTCTCAACTCCCACCTGTCTCCTCCTGGTTCTATTACTCTGGGTCTCTATCTCTCACCTCCCACCTGTCTCCTCCTGGTTCTGTTACTCTGGGTCTCTATCTCTCACCTCCCACCTGTCTCCTCCTGGTTCTGTTACTCTGGGTCTCGATCTGTCACCTCCCACCTGTCTCCTCCTGGTTCTGTTACTCTGGGTCTCTATCTCTCACCTCCCATCTGTCTGCTCCTGGTTCTGTTACTTGGTTCTCTATCTCTCACCTCCCATCGTCTCCTCCTGGTTCTGGTATTCTGGATCTCTATCTCTCACCTCCCATCTGTCTCCTCCTGGTTCTGCTGATCTGGGTCTCTATCTCTCACCTCCCATCTGTCGCCTCCTGCTTCTGTTACTCTGGGTCTCTGTCTCTCACCTCCCATCTGTCTCCTCCTGGTTCTGTTTCTCTGGGTCTGTATCTCTCATTTTCCAGCTGTCTCCTCCTGTTTCTGGTACTCTGGGTCTCTAGCTCTCACCTCCCATCTGTCTCCTGTTTCTGGTACTCTGGGTCTCTAGCTCTCACCTCCCATCTGTCTCCTGGTTCTGTTACTCTGGGTCTCTATGTCTTAGCTCTCATCTGTCTTCTCTTGGTTCCATGTGGTAGGACAGTATTGGAGGGTCCCAGGTGGGAGCCTCAGGGTCTGGTGGGAGATAGTTCTCAGAGAGCGGGCATTCTAGCCTGGAGGGTGATGGCATAGTTGTGCCAGTGCCTGGTGCTCCACAAGGAGGGCATGGGGTCCCCCTGTTGTGGGAGCTCCTGGCATTCCCATGTGGGGTGGGTGGGTGGGATGGAGGCTGATCATTGGTCCAGGGGATGGGAATGGGTGTAGCCCTGGGATTGAGAGGAAGAGGGGTCTGGGCAGGCTGCATGGCCCATTGGCTCATTGGCTTCTAGGTAGATGTGTAGGGTGAAGGGGATGGAGGGTGTGGAGAGACCCTGAGGATGGTAGCCTGGAGACCCCAGGGTCCCTAAAGGCTGGAGTGTTATCCTGGATGTCTGCTTTCTGTCCCACAGCCATCCTGGGGGTCAGGCCAGGAGTCTGTGGCCATCACTCCTGCCACACTGGCTCCTAGTGGTGAGGCAGCCCTGTTCTGCCAACAATTCTCTGTCATCCACAGGGAGCTAGAATGGTGCTTCCTGACCAGCCCTGGGGGCCATGGCCATTCTGACCAAGACTCTGCCCCCTCCCTGGGCCTCAGCCTGGGCCGATGTCCTGCAGACTCAGAACGCACTCCCTACTCCTCATTCTCCCTGTAAAACGTGGTCTCTCTGCCCCCCCAGGTGGATTTCACACAATCCTCCCCCCCCATAGGTGTCCTTCCTGATGAATGTCCTGACTGCTTGGTCTGGTGGCCAGCTCTGCTTACCATTGACAATGTTCTCCCCCCCTCACCCAACCTGGCCTTGACCGTGCTCCCACCTGGTCCTTGGTCCTGGACCCAACATGCCTGTGTTGGCTTAAATCTTGTCCCCGAAATTCGTGTCTTAAAGCCCTGGCTGCAGGACCTCAGAATGGCACGGTATTTGGAGACGGCGTGTTTGGAGAGGTGATAAGGTAAAAGGAGGTCATTAATTCAGCCCAGTATGGCTGGTCCTCAGTATGGCCTCTTGTTCTTGTAAGAGCAGACAATCAGGACACAGACACACACAGAGAGCTGGCTACGTGAGGACAGGGGCAGAGGCCCCAGGAGGCACCCACCCTGCGAGGCCTGCACCTCTCCCTGCTAGCTTCCAGGATTGTGAAAGCAGAAATGCATGTGGTTGAAGCCGCCAGACTGTGGCTCTTTTGTCTGGCCGCCCGTGCTGACTAATACACACCCTACACATGCCTCTTGCTTCTGGCCACGGCCAGGGCTGGCAGCCCCTCCTGCACCCAGCCCCAGGCGACCCCTGGCCCTGCACTGTTTCTGGCTGCCTTCCTCACCTACTGGGAGCCCCAGGGCTGTGGGGTCCTGGTCCCCCACGGCAGGAGTGAGCCAATGCACGGTGTGGCCAGGCTGGGATTTCACCAGGCACATCAACAGAGGAAGACGTTCCCCAGCGAGTTATGGAACTTTTCAGGATGGTTTATTGGCATCGAAGAGAAAGAGAAGAAACAGTGAAGGACATTATTGTGCTCCAGAAATTTCACAAGATACAAGCTACCCAAGCTACAACAGTGGGTTTCCTTTGAGTGATGGGTGTGCATTCTCTCCCGGGGGCACAGGGGCTCTGCTTCTCCTCCCCTGCCCGGCCATCTCCCATGTAGGGGATCTGACCTGGCACTCGCTCAAAGACTGGTGGAGAACCAGGCCTAGGGGTCCACCTGTCTCAGGCCCCAATGCCCGGGGGCTCTCTCTGGTCATCTTGTCTCTGCCCCCAGCTCCCAGGAGCAAGCAGGCATTCCTGCCCAGCATGACTCGGGTCCTGGGCACAGGATGGTGCAGGCTGGGCCTGTTGTCCTGGCCTCTCGGCTCCCGTCCACCTTTGTCCACTGAGGCTGCTTCCCACCCACCTGGTCGCCAGGCCCCTCTGCAGGAAGCCAGTCTGATCACTCCTTCCCCAGATGGTGCCACCCTGCCCCTGGTGGGCTCCTGCAGTGGCCACAGGCCTGGGCCCTTCTCTGCATGGTCTCCTCCCATGGAGAAGGTCTAACTGACCATTCGTGGCATGTCGGAAGCTTCTCTGTGGGGTGACAGAGGCCCGCGGCTTCCTCAGGATCTGAGACAACAAGCCTGCTCTGGGGATGTCCTGCCTTCTGGAGCCTGGCCTGGAAGGGGTTTGCACAGAGGCCAGGCCCTGCCCAGATAGACACTGGGATCATGAGCCCTCAACCTCTTCCAGGATGACCATGTACTCCGACCCCGGGGCTGTCCTGGGGAGGGCCATCTTGCCCTGATGCCTCAGTGTCCACACGGCCCCAGCAGTATCTTGGTGGCTACTGAGGAGGGGTCAGCAGGTGTCCGTCAGCTCAGGTCGGGGGCACGGCCTGCTGTCATGTTGAGTCTCCAAACGGGGGTTCAGGGGCAAGATGCAGCCCACGGTGTCCACGAGCCCAGAGGGTGGAGGTGCAGGCCCAGGGTGGCTGTGAGGTCAGAGGGTGGCAAGGTGGGAGGGCAGAGAGCGGGCCTGGCAGCAAGCCGAGCGGCATGAACGGATTAACCCGGTTCCTATGTGGGGTCGAGGGCAGCCCTGGACACCCGCCCAAGAGGGCTGGCCCTAGGCCCCCTGCCCGATCATGTTCCTATAGTCGGGCACGATCGTGCGCTTCAGCTCCACCACCGAGGAGAAGATCCACTTCACCTGCAGCAGGCGGGCAAGGGAGTGAGCGTGGCCTGGAGTCTGAAGGACACCTCCCGCCAGGGCCTGCCCCCCACACCCGGGACCACTGTAGTGTGCGGGGGTCCTGGTGGGGATGGCATGCGGACAGCAAGGGGACAGCGAAGGGGCAGTGAGTAGTCAGTGAAGGGACACAGAGGGGACAGTGTGGGGACACAGGGCGGACAGTATGGGGACAGCGTGGGGACAGCGGGCCATAGTGTGGGGACAGTGGTCAGTGTGGGGACATCATGGGGACAGAGTGGGCACAATATGGGGAAAGCAAAGAGGGAGTGTGTGGACAGTGTGGGGACAACAGGGCATAGTGTGGGGCAGTGTAGGGACAGTGTGGGGTGAGCATGGGGACAGCGTAGGGACAGTGGGCCATAGTGTGGGTACAGTGTGAGTACTGCATGGGACAGTGTGGAGACAGCGTTGGGTCAGTGTGGGGACAGTTTTGGGTCAGCGAGGGGATAGTGTGGGGACAGCATGTGGTCAAGGTGGGGAGAGCATGGGGACAACAGGCTGCAGTGAGAGTACGGTATAAGTACAGCATGGGGACAGCATGGAGTCAGCATGGGGACAGGGAGGAGACAGTGTGGGGACAGCGTGGGGACAATGTGGGGATGCAAAGGAACAGCATGTAGACAGTCAGGGGACAGTGTGGGGTCAGGTAGAGGATTATGTGGAGACAGCATGGGGGTAGCATATGGACAGTGTGGCATGGCGTCAGTGTGGGGACAGAGTGGGTTCAGCATGGGGACAGTGTGCAGACAGCTAGATATCAGTATGGGGACAATGTGGGAATGGCCTTGGGTCAGTGAGGCAACAGTATGGGGACAGCGTGGGGAGTTTTGAGTCAACGTGGGGTCAGTGTGGGGTCGACATGGGGACAGTTTAGGGTCAGTGTGGGGACAGCATGGGGTCAGTGTGGGGACAGTGGGCCGTAGTGAGTTGATGGTGTGGGGACTGCATGAGGAAAGCTGGCTACAGTGAGGTGATGGTGTTTGGACAGTATGGCGACAATGTGAGGACAGCGTGGGGACAGCATGGGGTCAGTGTGGGGACAGTGTTGGGACAGTGGGCTGTAGCGAAGGGATGGTTGAGGACAGCGTGGGGACAATGTGGGGACAGCATGGGGACAGCGATGGGACAGTGTAGGGACACCATGGGGACAGCGTGGGGACACCATAGAGACAGCGGGCCGCAGTGAGGGTACGTGTGGGGATGCCCACCTTGAAGAGGGTCACAGTGGCGCTGTAGCACACGCTGAGCAGGAAGAGGGTGATGAAGATGGAGATGGTGGTCCACAGCCCGTCCAGCTCCCCATCCTGGTCCTCGGCACAGCTGTCGTCCAGGAGCAGCTCTGGACAGGAAGGGGGTGATCAGTGCCATGCCTGCCCATCGGGGTCATTCCCTGGGGGACAGTCACAGCCTTCTGCAACCTCAGGTGCCAGCCTCAGCACCCCCAGCTCTCCAGCTTGGGCCTGGCCAGGGGGACCCCTCCCTCTCTGTTCTGTCCTGTGCTGGAACCCTCATGGGGGAAGGCGCCCTGACCGACACACACCCTCTTCCCCTGGGGGCCAGGTCCAGAGGGTGGGAGGGTCAGCAGAGTCCAGGAAAGGGCTGGTCAGTGTCGGGGAGTGTCCTAGAATATGAGTGTGTGGGAGCGTCAGGACAAGCTGGGTGTGGGGGTTTCGTGGATATTGGGAGGGGGTGCAGGTGCCCTGGGGCAGAGGAGGGCTGCTTAGTGTGGTCAGTGTGTGGATGAGCTGCTGAGCAGCTGATGGGTGTTGGGGGGTGGTGGGGACCAGGCTGGTGTGCAGGGTGAGGGTCCCCAGACCCGCTCTGGTCTGGGCTCATGGAGGCTGTCCGGGTGAGGCCCATCATTTAAGGCCTGTGTGTGTATGTACACGTGCATGTACATGCATGTAACTGTGGGCACACACACGTGTGTATGCATGTATGTGCATATATAAGCATGTGTGTGAGTGTGAGTGTGAGTGTGTGAGAGAAGGTGGCACTGCTCAGTGGGACAGGCTTGTTTTCAGTGGGTCTGGACTCAGCCCCAAGTGGCATCTGGGATGGTCCCTCCCCTGGGCACCCAGGGCCACCTGCCTCTGCCCCTTTGGGGCACGGGGTGAGTGTCCTCAGGAGTGGACCGGCCTGGCCCCAGGCAGGATGAAGCCAGGCAAGGCCCCTGCATTTGAGGGAGGGCGGGGGCCTGTTCGTGCAGTGCCTGAGGGCAAAGGAGGGCCTGTCCCCACACATGGGTCAGGCATGGCTCTTGCGTGGGCACAGAGCTACCACGCAGAGTCTCAGGAGGCCCAGGGAGCCCAGGGCGGAGGACAGGCCAGTGTCCCACAACTTGGGCTGGTACAGAGGTGGGTAGGACTGTGTGCTCATTTCCCTGAGGGCTCTGGAGGGGCTTCTGCAATCCCTGTCCATACCCTCCAGCCCTGGGCAGCTTCTGACTGGAGGGATGGCCCAGAGTGGCTGCCACCTCTGGCAAAGTCCCCTCTCCTGCTCAGGCAACTCCTGCCCACATCCTGTGGCAGCCAGCGCAGACCTGCCCGCTAGGGGATGTGGCCCCCGTGGGACCTGCTCCCTCCCACCAATGGTGACCCCTTGGCCTTGGAGCCTGGCCTGTCTGTGCCGCCCAGAGGTCCGGGGGTCCTGAGCTCTGCCTCGGAAAGAACCATGACAGCATCGCAGGGTCCCAGGGCAGTGCTGGGTGCTTTATTTCATGCAGGGGTGCCTGCCTGGGAGGTATGTACACAGGGGTGGGGGCTCTGGCGTCCTTGTGGGACCCTGAGAGCCCATGGTGGGGGGCTTGCTGGGATCCCAGGCGTGTTGCTCATTTACCCGGAGACTGGGAGATGGGTTGCTGTGTGTGGTGGTTGTGTAGAGCTTCATGCATGACCACACACGTGACAACCTCTCCGCGCTGCCATTGGTTCTTGTCCACTGAGAGCTTGCTGTAGAGGAAGTAGGTCCCATCTGCATCCAGCTGGGGTGGGGTTGTTCGGATACTGCTTTCTGGCATCTGCTGGCCATTGCTCTGCCACTCGACATCAACCTCAGATGGGTAGAAGTCTTTGACCAGGCAGGTCACGCTGACTGTGTTCTTGTTCATCTCATCCCGGGATGGGGGCAGGACGTACACATTGGGCTGATGGGCCTGCCCTGTGGGGTCAAAGGTCAGCACAGACGGTCACTCACAGGGTGGAGGGCCAGACGAGGTTTGCAAGACCCTACTCGACCCTCCCTGCACCCCTAACCCCTGCATCCCCCACCCTGCTGCACACCTCTGGCCTTGGAGATGGTCCTCTGGATGGAGGATGGGAGGGCTTTGCTGTTGACCTTGCACTTGAACTTCTTTCCTGCGAGCCAGTCCTGGTGCAGGATGGGGAGGACACTGACCACACGGTAGGTGCTGTTGAACTGCTCCTCATGCAGCTTTGTCTTGGCTGTGTGCACCTCCTGGTCATCCACGAACCAGGTGACCTGGATTTCAGGGTCTTCATGGCCCAGGTCCACCACAAAACATGTGACCTCGGGGATTCCACCAATTTTGAGGATGTCCTTGGGTTTTGGGGGGAAGATGAAGACCGAAGGTCCTCCCAACGTGTCAGGGACTAGTAAGGGAGACAGAATGCAGGTGTCAGCACGTGGGTGGGCTTCCTCTTGAACATCCATTCCCCCCACCCGGCTGTGCCTGGATGTTGGCCATCTGCTTGGGGTGGAGGGCAAGGTCCTCCTGACTCACCTGGACATTTGGGACATTCCTTACAGGGGCCAACGCCATTTGGTTTGGGCATTACTGTAGAGAGAGCAGACTGGGCATTACTGGGTATCTGGAGTGGGCACAGGTTTGGGTGGGTGTAGGTGAGGGCCAGGTCTTGGGGGCTTCTCAGACCAGGGACTGGAGTGGGGGTAAGCCGCCTGTGCTCACAGTGGACCAGGCAGCAACACCCAGAGGACCCCCTTCCCGAATTGGGAGACCTTCATGTGGGGGAGACAGCAGGGCTTCCCCTGTGCCCTGGGGTCCAGGTGGGCCAGCTGACCTGGCCTGTCTCCCGGTGGACACCCTCTCTGAGGCCCGTCCTCTCACCTTTCTTGTCCACCTTGGTCTTACTGGCCGGGTGGGCCACAGTGCAGGTGAAGGTGTCACTGGGCCACCTGCTGGAGGGCACTGTCACCATGCTGCTGAGAGAGTAGAGCCCTGAGGACTGCAGGACGGACGGGAAGGTGTGCACACCACTGGTCAAGGAGCCGGAGTTCCAGGACACAGTCACAGGCTCGGGGAAGTAGCTGGACACCAGGCAGGCCAGGGCCACTGTGGAGCCAGATGTGGTCCCGCAGCTGGGGGCCAGTGGGAAAACCGATGGGGCCGTGGTGGAGGCTGCAAGAGAGGAGGCTGTGTGACCACCAGGCTCTCACCCCTTCAGGGCTGGGGCAGGACAGCAGGTGCCCAGGCTGGGGTGCCCCTGGGCCCAGTGCCCATGTGCTCCCTGGACATGCGCAGACCAGCTGCCTGGCTTAGCGCTCTGTGGCCACAGGTGCTGGACTCATGAGCTTGGTCAGTGATGGGTGACCACATGGGTCAGAGTCCCCTGGGACTCAGGCCTTGGGTCCCCACGCAGGCTTTCTCTGGGTGTGCAGCCTGACTGAGCCCTCTGTCTGAGCCCTGACCTGTGACCCCTGCTCCCAGCCGGCTCCTGCTAGTCCCCTGAGCCCACTGCCATGCTGTCCCAGCCTGATTGTGCCTTGGGCCAGCGGGAACGTCCACCCACTGCCCATGCCCCTCAGCCCAGAGCCCTCAACAAGGCCTGCCAACTGCCCTCCAGGTCTCTCGTCTTCTGGGTCAGCTCTGCAGCCAAGCAGCCCCGGCCCCCGGCCCTGCCCCAAATGCACTGGACCCTCCTCAGGCCTTCCTGGCAAGGCTTCCTGAGCTCACTCAAGGCCCCTCCCAGCCCGTGCCCCTGGCCTTGGCCACCCCTGCTCTGGGGCCTGTCCAGCTCCTTGCTCTCCCCAGAGTCCTCCTTCAGCCCACGTCTTTCCCGAGCCTGTCTGCCCGTCAGCATGGTGGGGGGAGACATGCCCTGCCCTGGCTGTCCTCCCTGCATGGTGCCAGCACCTCAGGGCATCTCAGCCCCCCAAACCCAGACAGGCCTATCCCCTCCGACCCTGGTCCCCTCTGCTAAGGCTGAGGACCCTGTCTGGTGTCCCCTCCCACCCACACCCCAGGCTGGCAGCTCTGCCTCAAGCTCTGATGGGGCCCCTTGCTCTCTCCTCCACTGGGTCCACTGCCCCGTGCCTCCCCGCCTGGCTGAGGCATGTCCACCTCTTCTGTTCCTCGTCCCTATGAGCCTCCAGAACATGGCTCATGCCCCTGGACCAAAGACCTAGGCCCCCGCTCAGCCCCTCAAAGGTGGCCACCGCTGACCCTTCCTCCTCAGAGACCTTACCACCCAGGCTCTAGTCTCCACACTAACTTGTCCCCCTGGGCCAGCCCCTCACCCTGTCCCCCATGTGCAGGGATGTCACCTTGGCCCAAGCCCTCAGCTGTATCTATAGGCTGCACCTGCTCAGCTCCCACCTAGTCCAGAGCTTCTTCGAGGTCAGTCTTGCCCTTCATCCCCGGAGCTCCTGGGGCTGCCCCTGCCCCTCCTGCTCTCCACTTGCCCCTGCTCACCTGCAGAAGCTAGGCCTGCTCCCCTGAGCCCCTGGGGTAGCCCCCCTCCCCTCCTGCTCTCCCATCTGCCCCTGCTCACCTGCACCAGCTCTGCCTGCTCCCCTGAGCCCCTGGGGCAGCCCCCTTCCCCTCCTGCTCTCAACCTGCCCCTGCTCACCTGCTCAAGCTCTGTCTGCTCCCCTGAGCCCCTGGGGCAGCCCCCCTCCCCTTCTGCTCTCCCACCTGCCCCTACTCACCTGCACCAGCTCTGCCTGCTCCCCTGAGCCCCTGGGGCAGCCCCCTTCCCCTCCTGCTCTCAACCTGCCCCTGCTCACCTGCACCAGCTCTGCCTGCTCCCCTGAGCCCCTGGGGCAGCCCCCATCCCCTTCTGCTCTCCCATCTGCCCCTGTTCACCTGCTCAATCTCCTCTTGCTCCCCTAGCCCCTGGGCAGCCCCCTACCCCTGCTGCCCTCCCTCCTGCCCCTGCTCACCTGCACAAGCTCTGCCTGCTTCCCTGAGCCCCGGGGGCAGCCCCCCTCCCCCTCTGCTCTCCCACCTTCCCCTGCTCACCTGCACAAGCTCTGCCTGCTTCCCTGAGCCCCGGGGGCAGCCCCCCCTTCTGCTCTCCCACCTTCCCCTGCTCACCTGCACAAGCTCTGCCTGCTCCCCTGAGCCCCTGGGGCAGCACCCCTCCCCTCCTGCTCTCCCACCTGCCCCTGCTCACCTGCAGAAGCTCTGCCTGCTCCCCTGAGCCGCTGGGGCAGCCCCCTTCCCCTCCTGCTCTCAACCTGCCCCTGCTCACCTGCAGAACCTCTGCCTGTTCCCCTGAGCCCCTGGGGCAGCCCCCTTCCCCTCCTGCTCTCCCACCTGCCCCTGCTCACCTGCACCAGCTCTGCCTGCTCCCCTGAGCCCCTGGGGCAGCCCCCTTCCCCTCCTGCTCTCCCACCTGCCCCTGCTCACCTGCTCAAGCTCTGCCTGCTCCCCTGAGCCTGGGGCAGCCCCCTACTCCTCCTGCTCTCCCACCTGCCCCTGCTCACCTGCACCAGCTCTTCCTGCTCCCCTGAGCCCCGGGGGCAGCCCCCCTCCCCCTTTGCTCTCCCACCTTCCCCTGCTCACCTGCACAAGCTCTGCCTGCTCCCCTGAGCCCCTGGGGCAGCCCCCTTCCCTTCCTGCTCTCCCACCTACCCCTGCTCACCTGCACAAGCTCTGCCTCTTCCCCTGAGCCCCTGGGCAACCACCTTCCCCTCCTGCTCTCAACCTGCCCCTGCTCACCTGCAGAAGCTCTGCCTGCTCCCCTGAGCCCGTGGGGCAGCCGCCCTCCCCTTCTGCTCTCCCACCTGCCCCTGTTCACCTGCTCAATCTCCTCTTGCTCCCCTAGCCCCTGGGCAGCCCCCTACCCCTGCTGCCCTCCCTCCTGCCCCTGCTCACCTGCACAAGCTCTGCCTGCTTCCCTGAGCCCCGGGGGCAGCCCCCCTCCCCCTCTGCTCTCCCACCTTCCCCTGCTCACCTGCACAAGCTCTGCCTGCTCCCCTGAGCCCCTGGGGCAGCCCCCTTCCCTTCCTGCTCTCCCACCTACCCCTGCTCACCTGCACAAGCTCTGCCTCTTCCCCTGAGCCCCTGGGCAACCACCTTCCCCTCCTGCTCTCTACCTGCCCCTGCTCACCTGCAGAAGCTCTGCCTGCTCCCCTGAGCCCGTGGGGCAGCCGCCCTCCCCATCTGCTCTCCCACCTGCCCCTGTTCACCTGCTCAATCTCCTCTTGCTCCCCTAGCCCCTGGGCAGCCCCCTACCCCTGCTGCCCTCCCTCCTGCCCCTGCTCACCTGCACAAGCTCTGCCTGCTTCCCTGAGCCCCGGGGGCAGCCCCCCTCCCCCTCTGCTCTCCCACCTTCCCCTGCTCACCTGCACAAGCTCTGCCTGCTCCCCTGAGCCCCTGGGGCAGCCCCCTTCCCTTCCTGCTCTCCCACCTACCCCTGCTCACCTGCACCAGCTCTGCCTGTTCCCCTGAGCCCCTGGGCAACCACCTTCCCCTCCTGCTCTCTCACCTGCCCCTGCTCACCTGCACCAGCTCTGCCTGTTCCCCTGAGCCCCTGGGGCAGCCCCCTTCCCCTCCTGCTCTCAACATGCCCCTGCTCACCTGCTCAAGCTCTGTCTGCTCCCCTGAACCCCTGGGGCAGCCCCCCTCCCCTCCTGCTCTCCCACCTGCCCCTGTTCACCTGCTCAATCTCCTCTTGCTCCCTTAGCCCCTGGGCAGACCCCTACCTCTGCTCCCCTCCCTCCTGCCCCTGCTCACCTGCACAAGCTCTGCCTGCTCCCCTGTTACCCTGGGGCAGCCCCCTGGTTGTGATGCCCTCCAGGTACCTTCTCACTCACAGCTGCTCTGCCCTGGTCCTTGGAGCTCATGGATCACAGCAGCCTCCTGCCCCTCTTGCCCTATGATCCTTCTCCCACAGGTCCCTGAGTTCAGCCCCAGACTTCTGTGTGTCTCAAGGCTGCCCCTGCCTCTGCTGCCCGTCCCAGACCCTTTAGCCCAGGTTTGGCCTCTGACCCTCATCCCCTGGACTCCTGTAGCATGTTGAGCTCCCTGATCAGCCTCCCTGCTGTCTGGGTCCTGAGCACATGGGAGCCGTACCAGCCCCGCCTGGTCTGCTCCACTCATCTGCTGCTTATCTGGTGCAGCCCAGGGCCTCATGGCCAACACCTCTGACCCTGCCCTGGGGCTTGAGCCGGCTCCCTTGGCCTGGACAGGACCCTCAGTCCACCTGGTGTCCTCCTCCTCCTCCCCTGTGCTGAGCCAGCCCCTTTCTGTGTCCTCACCTCAGACCCATCTGTCCATGTTGGCATTGGTCCTGCAGTGGCTGAAGCTGGTGCAGCCCCCGGCTCCCAGCACAGGTGGTGAAGGGCAGCCCTCAGGCTTCTGCCCACCATGCCCGTCATGGTCCTTGAAGGTCCTGGTCCTGGCCCCCCTCTGTCAGCGTCTGGTGCATTCAGCAGTGTTGGTGTGGGTGAGCCCCTCCCGTGCCTCCCTCGTCCCTGCCCTGGGTGGTGCCATGGACTTCAGGCAGCCTGCCTTCCCCCGTGCGGGCTCACCTGCTCCAGTCCCTCCATGGGGTCCTGAGGGCCAGGTGTTCCTCAGCTCCTGTAGCTGGTTCTGCTATCCCCACCTCAGTCCCTCATCTTTGCTCCATGCAGATCACACTCAGCATGGTTGGGGCTGTGGGAGCCGCTCCCCTGCAGCCATGCTCACCCCTGCACCCCACCTCCTCCCTGCTGTGGCCCCAGGCACACGTGGCTCCTTGTGGCTGAGCTCTGTGCCCACAGCCTTGCTTCCTAGCCTCCAGGCAGCCCTGGGAAGACTAAGAACAGGATTGAAACCAAGAGGCTTGGCTTGCTTCCTGAAGTTCCCTTTTCTTCTGGGTGGTTTCGTCTCAGAGGTCCTGGCGGGGGGAGTCCGGACACAGCCAAGTGTGCCCAGGTGGGTGTGTGGGGTGGGGTGTGGTGGGTGCCTGGGGGCCCAAGGGAGAGCACAGGAACCCCCCTCCACAGGATGCTCTTAGCTCTCTGCCTCCTGCAGGGATATGCTTGCTGCCTGCTCCCTGGCAGAGCAGTCTAAGCTGCTCTCAGCTGAGCCCTGTGGTGCCCCCAGCCCTGGTG